TTTATTTTTTATTACTGTAATTTGTATTCACTTTATTTGTATTATTATTTTTCTATCTATGTGACTTTACCTAAAGAACAAAAGAACAGAGAGTCCATATTTTAAGTTTGACACACCTACAATATTAACAGAGTGGCCTTCCGAACTTTTACCGCAGAAGCTCATGGTAATGATCCATCGAAACACTATCTGGGCTTAAATTCTAAGATCTCGGGAGATCAGGTGCATTCTGTGTGACTTATTCGTAAGCAACATTGTGGACAGCAGAGGGATATGCGGCAAAAAAGCATTGTCGTACCGTACTTCCATGCTTCCACGTCTATGCTCCCCGACATTCCAAACTTGCAATGAGCAACATAGTAGGCTAAAGAAGGACTATGAAATATTCCTATGACCGACACAGGAGGCCCTCATTCAGCAATTGATTGCAAAACTGACTGTGCATGTACATACACAAAACACTAATTGTAAATTCCATAAATCGTGTAATTTAAATTTAAATGTTGTCAATAGGAATTGAAATCTCCTTTTAACATGGGCATTTTTTCACTTCATAGCGTTCATATTCATAAGTTAATTAACACTTTATAACTCAGGTTATATGTCTCTGGATTATTAACAGCAGCCTAAGTGCTCCGTTTAGGCTCCAAGTGGTCCCAGTCCATCTGACCTGGACTCCCTCAGTCCTTTGGTTGGGGTCCAATTGTCTTCCAAAGCAGCAATACTAACTGAGCCACACAGCTACTTCCCTCAGTCAAGATCGAGTCTCAGTCATGCCCATCCACTCCCCTGGTAGCACACCCTACATGGGTGTGAGTCACGGCTTGTATAGCCATCTTCTTCTTCCAGAAGGTAAGTTTGTATTTTTTTCAACTACAACAACCATTGTATTTTAGAGGATGTCTCCTGAAACGGGGTTTTCCCAACTGGGTAATCACTCCAATATATTAGTGCTCTCAGAAGATGAAATTGTACCATATGACTGTGGGAACGCCCTGAAAAAGAGAAGTTAAGTAAAATATCTCTCTGAAATTGCTCGGTTTGGTCTATGAAGATCTGAGCTGGCACTTCACTGCAGTTGTTGGCCTCTAGTGTTTCGAACAGAACCCCTAGGATTTTAATTTAATAAGAGTGTCACCTCAACTGTCACTACCCATTGGAATATTTATTGAAATAATGTTGCCAGTTCCCCGGGACGCAAAGGCAAGTCATTACACACCCAAATATACACATAGATATCCGTAAAGGCACACATACATATACATAAATTCACACGTACAATGATACACACGCGTAGCAACACAGAGACATACAACAATAGTTGACATTCGCCACTAAGTAGCAGTGACATATAACAGCACTTGTGCCAGGCTAGGTACACTTTGATGCTTATGTGACGTGTCGACGCCTCACTGGCAGGAGTTCGAAGGCTCCTTCATTATTCAATTGCTTCCCCTTCTTTCTTACCTAGTACTAAAGTACAAACTGATCAGTTTCTTTTTTTACAAAATCAACTCAATCTCTCTATTCATTCTCTACCTCATCCTACCACCTTCCCAACTGTTCCCATGCCAACGATTATTTCTAATTTATCTGAGTTGTCTAAACTTTCCTTGTCTGACCGTGTATCCCTGGATGCTAGATCTTGACCCACTTACTCAGAGAAACTGGAGCATGATAAGCATGTCAATGTGTGGGCACATAATATCCTCTATCACACACCAACAGCTAAAGCCGTGCTTTGGAACAGGGATAAGTTATTCCAGCATTAGAGTTGGGCAAGACCTCTCCACTGCAAGCATATCTGCTCCATCTGTTGAGTAATCGCCATGCCACTGGACATAGGTGTTTAAGTTCGAAAGGGTGTTCTGGGTCACTGTGCATTCCACAGATGATCTAAAGAATTTAAGCACAAACCAGCCCTTCAAAGTTCACTGAGATGCTGGGGTAAAATTCGAGTAAGAATAACAAGAATGACATTCACAAAATGGAATGTTAGAACATTGCTTCACACGGAACATTTTCACAGCCTGAAACGTCATACAGGATTTATGGCCTGGAAATAATTGAACTCCAAGAATTTCGGCTCTCCCTCCTTCCCTAGGGAATACTTTTCGGATGCCCCTCTGCAGGACAGCTTTTTTTTACCACAACATGTGTGCATGCCCTTACCACGACCGATCCAGATAAAGGTAAGAATACATTGTATAATGATTTGTTCCATATTTTTCGGAAAAAAACCCTTATAAGAACTACATAATCAGTAAGGATGCTCTCTAGTCAATGATTGACACGAAGATGGAGACATGGAGAGGCATAGATGGAGGGGATGGAGTTGGAAAATATCACACTAATAGAGTAATGCTGCTCTCACTGTTCGTGAAAATGACCTTACTATCATTAACATTTTGTTCTGCCTCCCAGACAGACTAAAAACGACTTGGATTAATCCACAATGTAAACAATGGCATCCAATTGACTACTTTTTGCGAGAAATTGATTTAACGCAACAATACAAAATACACAACGCAAAGGAGTAATTAGTGCCGTTGTGGAGAAAATAAGTAACACGTGAAGTTAGCAGACAAATCTAACTCATTTACATATTCACCCTCCACGTAAACAAATTTAGGGTAAAGGGTACTTCATATATTGTTTACCCTTTTTCATATGCAAATATTATTAGTCTACGAATAGAACAGGTTTATTTTTTTTTTACTTCCTCGTCACTGTCTGTTGTTTCGCAATGTCTAACATTGTCTGTTTGCCCAGAGGTGGTGACACACGCATGGAATCCATCACTGTGGAGGCAGGGACGGCCCCCATACAGGCTAACTAGGCCGTCGCCTAGGGCGCCAAGTTAAGTGGGTGCCAAATTCGAGGGAAAAAAACAAAAAAAATGAAGGTCTCATTATTAAAATTCCCGTAATAACAAAGGGAATTGGAATCATAATCAACTCATCAACATTTATGAGAATGTATTGGTTGGACAGACGGACGGTAATAATCACCTGGAAGTGGTTCGCAATACAACAAAGGCAACACCTACGCATCCTCAGTTACACCTGATGACAGTTGCTTGTGTTGCGATCGAAACGTCGTGATCTATTATTTTCTACCTACGTGACTTTACCGAAAGAACCAAAGAGTAATTATACTCATTCATAGTAAAACCATTCATGTGTTTGGCTCATCAGTGTCATCTGCCGTGTCATGGAACACCTGTATTACTATTCAGGCGCAGGACACAGAGAATCTTGGTTTTGTTTTCAAGGCAAAGATGTATTTAACTCCGAACAAATATTTTTGCTTTACAACGTATCACAAAAAAACTGTTGTTTTAACCACCATAACGCAGGTCACAACAACACTCAACCACCGACGCACTCAACCACCCATCCATCCACCCAACCACCCTCTCACCCACCCAATCACTCACAAATCCACCTTACCACTCACCCCCCACCCACCCACTGATCCACCCATCAAGCCACTCACCCAATCACCCACTCACCCACCCATCCACGCACGCATCCAATCACCAAGCCACTCACCCACTCACCCACCCATCCTGTCACTTACCCATCCCCTCACCCACTCACACACTCACTCTCCAACTCACCTACCCAACTTCTCACTCACTCACCCACCCTCTCACTCATCCACCCTCTCACCAACCCATCCACCCACTCACCTATCCACTCACTCACTCATCCACCTATAAAACCACACATCCACCCACTCAGCCACTCGTCAACCCATCCTTCTCACCCACCCTCTCATTCACCCACTGACCTACCAATTCACCCAACCAGAAAGCCAAATACTCACCCATCCACTCGCCCACGCACTCACCTATCCACTCACCAATTCACCTACCCACCCTCTCACCCACCGACCCACCCATCAAGCGACTGACCCACCCAATTGCCTACCTACACACACATTCACTCACAAACCCACCCACCAACCCTCTCGCCAACCCATCCACGCACTAAGTCACCCACTCATTAAACCACTCACCAAATAATCCACTCACCCACCCACCTACTCGCCTACCCACTCACTCACCTACTCACCCATTCACCGACCCACTCACCCAACCACTTACCCACTCATTCATTCACCCACGTGTTGGATCTTATCTAAACATTTGACGTGTTGTGCCTTTGAAAATGTGATCAAAGGTTGATGAAGGCTTGCACTGCTGGATGAATGGTCACAGGAGTTGTGTGATCATACCCCGAATTGGAGTGTCCAGAACGAGTTCAGAAACTACTCAACACTGACGTTAGCGATAGTCGCGAATAAGATTCAGGTCACAAGGTTCAAAGTTTTACGTGCTAAAAAGTTACCAACACTTCACTCCCGCTTCAGAATCAGAACAACAATGTCTTAAATATGATGCAAGGCTTCTCCTAACCTGACACTCACCCAACTATTAACCGAACCTGACAGTCACCATTCCAGGTAGAGTCAAAATTGATTAAAATGAGAATATATATGGTGCTCAACACCTGTTTAGAGCCCTGAACCAGTGGTGGAAATTCAACATTCATATGGTGAGGTGCGTTTCGCCCAAAATTCGAATATTGTTGACTTTCCCATAATATGATACTCATTTAATCTACCTCGGATGTCTGATGAACTGAGTTAACCCCCAACAAGGATTTTCAAATCTTTAGATTGCGAATCCCTACCTCTAAGCCACTTGACGAGATATTCGCTAAGAAATTGGTCACCCGATCAGGCACTCGACTCACTTGACAACTGCACAATCATCTGAACAGACATTAATGTGGATCAATAACTCCTTCTCCTGAACAGAAACTCAATATAACACCCAAACATTTAACAGACGACTTCATTAGACCACTTACCGGACCAGACAATAATTCAAGCAGATACTCACCTAACCAGGAACAAAAATATTGACCCATTCAATCACAAACTCATCCACCTTACTACCCAATCACTAATTCACTCACCCACTCACTCACCCGCGAGTCGGTTCATGAGAAAGGATTTGCCGGTTCGGTATTTCCCGGCTATCGCCACCACCACCAGGGGCTTCGTGATTCTCCCCAGAACCTTTGCCGTGTCCTTGTTGATGTAGAATCTCCCGTAATCGTCCGTCATGATGAACTGGAGTGGCATTTGTGGGTACGGAGACGACGTGGCCATGATTTCTTTGGCTTGATCTCTGTGAAAGTGTGAGTGTCTTTGTCTCTGGCAACACGTGCCTAGCTATATTGCTGTCTCTCTCAACAGGTGTTTCTGTGTGTGCTCCTGTGTCTCTGAGCAGGTGTCTGTATGTCTTTCTCAACGAGTGCGTATGTGTGTGTGCCTGTGTTTTTCTCAACATGTGTGGATGTCTATGTTTCAGCAGGTGTAGCTTTGTCATTCTCAACAGGAATTTGCATACGTCAAGAGGTATGTGTTAGAGTGGGCGTGGGTGTGGTCTTGACATTTAGTTATGGGGTGTGAAATGTACCTGTGGATCAAGTGGTTTTAACGATGTCAATATCGGGCAGCCTGTAAAAAATTCGCCAACCTCCTGCAGCAGTTCACTTTGGAGGTCATCGTTGTCTGTGGCTTTACCTAATTTGCGTCTGTATTGCTCTCCATAATTCCTAAACAGTCTCCAAGCGCCTCCAAATGTGGTTTGGCAAGGACACGTCATAGTTGGTTTCCCAACACGTGAGCCTCCGACGCAAGCTGAGTTTGATTTTTATTCTTTACTCTTCTTGTGGCTGCGAGCACAACATGAGGGTAACAGCTCATTATGTTTAGCCTTCCAGTAAGCTCTGTAATACTGGGAGGATTACATTTATAGCGAACACAGACGGAAATCATGAAACAAATGTGCGCGATTAGTCTTTTTGTTGCGCGGCTAATGAAAGTGGATTGGGTCGAGTATTGGGTAAGGTGGCGGTGTTGAAGTGGTTGTGGGTTCAATTGGGAATTACATCCATGTAGGACTCTACAACAGTTGTAATTAATCTGATTCTCCTGCGTAAACAACTCATGGAATGCAGATTAAAAATCATCACCAGCAGCAGCAATAATTAATCCAAACAGTTCCTCATTACATTTAACAATTACATTTTCATCCATAGTAAAAACTAATTATCCGCTAGGCACACTCATCTTCCTTACATTTCATGGAACGGCTATGTTGTTCATCTGCCTAAAATGCATCGAAGAAGCTTGGGTTTCTTTTCTGTGCCAACAGGGGCACCATGGTTGCGAGATGTTAATTCCCTCACCTGGTATGCAGGAGGACATAGTTTTGATCCCGACCCTAATGACTGTTGTATGGGTTTTTCTCCAGGTCCTCCCGTTTACCATCCACATTTAAAACCAATATACGTTAAGAGTATTTTTCTGATGTACATTTCCAAGTGATAAGCCACTTCGGTAAGCTCTAATTTGTGGCCAGGTCGCTTCTGAAAAATGAGCCATACCAAGTAAAAAATAAAATAATAGATGATCGAGCAATAATTGATACACTCAGCCCACTCGCTTACTAACGGTCATTAATATCGTGGTCACCATTCTAGTGCATTTTATGACAACAAATTGGCCAGATCATCATCGTGGCCGAACCCAAAAATCAAATATTAGTTAGCTTGCTGCCCTGTTGGGAAAGGGTACAATATTATTCTGCTGGAACAACGGATTCAGATAGAGAGCTTTGAATCCTCCTCAAACCTGTCTTGTTTCAGATTTCACATTTTAGGTAGATTTTTTTTAAATATGGATTCAGATACATGATAGTTCATTCGGGAGCTCTTAATCCAGTAATGGATTGACCATAACTGATGATTATGAACTTTTTTAGACCAATAAAATATTATACTGAAGCTAGTTCATAATGATTTAAAGCTTTCGTGACTGCAAGGATTCATCTTCTTTGGTTCTTTCGGTAAAGTCACGTGAATGAGAATAAAATAATAAATAAATCAAATAAAATAACACAATAAAATTCTCACGACGTTTCGGCCACAACACAAGTGGCCTTCATCAGGTGAAGGGACGAGACTGTCTGATGAAGGCCATTGTGTTGTGGCCGAAACGTCGTGAGAATTTTATTGTGTTATTTTATTAATTTATTATTTTATTCTCATTCTACGTGACTTTACCGAAAGAACCAAAGAAGATAGTTCATAATGGCTCATCTTAACGACAGTTATTCTGACTCCATATTATAAATGGAGCTAAATGCGTAAACACTTTCAACATTATTTTCAACCTCTACTTCCTACAAAATAGTTGGATATAAAATAATTTAGCAGACAAATACAAATTACTCACTTATCTGTGTCGCCAAGAAAAAAATATATTCAGCTATACGGTCTCTCTGTGAGTGCATGATTAATGAGCGTTGGTTAAACACAAGCACATTTCTGAAACTGTTTTGACTCAGAGCCTCAGTTTAACACGTAGGCTTTCGCGACAATATTCATAATAAAGGTTTTTGGGTTAGATCGCGTTTATTTATAAATGTGTCGTAACCCTCCACATCAGCAGAATGAGTCTTGCTTGAGACAATGCTGGTTAACTGCAAGATGTTTGATGGCATTGACCCTTTCAGTTATATAAGGGTTAAACGCAAAGTTAGCAAATACATAACACGAATTAATAATCGTCGTCGTGGAGAATATAAGTAACAATATAAATTACCAGACAATATGACTTATTCACATATCTGTCCCTCTTAATAAAATATTTAAGTATGTTTAGCCTTGAAAAAATGTTAAATATTTAAGTATGTTTAGCCTTGAAAAAAATGTCGACCAGTAAGACTGGTTCAGAATAAAAGAGCTTTTGGCACAAGTCACATTGGGAATTAATGCCATCAGCCAATAGTGGTTAACTTGAATGGCTTTGCCTGCATCAAAATGCAATGGTGATCTGATGTTTGTCCAACCCAGGCGCTTGAGGGGCAATAGTTGGCAACCATTAGAACAAACCCAGCCTCGAGGCTGACCAACTTAGACAAGGCAATAATCCCCCATATAGCCTTAACACACTAATGGAGAAAGTCCTGTTAGAGAGGACCTATGAAGGCTGGAACGGTAAACGAGGTGGTGGGTGGCCAGCACCTCGCCAGACTGTCTTTGTCTCCGTGTGGCGATGTTTAAACACCACACCAGGCAATCATTTGAGACTAAGTTGGTCTAGGGGAGGCCCAGGACCGCTTCAAATATTCGTCACTGGTGTTGGCCGTGAGCGGGAATCGAACTCATAGTTCAGCGTGTTAACCAATATACTACTGATCCGCACCAACATACACACACAGAAACATGTGCATCCACACTCACAGATACTGATTATATTTAGACAAAGATCCCCCGCATAACCTCGAAAAAATTGTTGGATCAAGTGTTGTTGTTAGTTGAGGGCAGCACCTTGAGGCGGCAGGGCGGGGGCAGAAGGTAAGGACACCACCTAGTGGGGGCAGGGGGTGAGTCACAATATGGGGCACCACCTAGAGGGGGCAGGGGGTGAGTAAAGTGACGAGGGCAGCACATTTATGGGGCAGGGGTTGAGTCAGGAGACAGGGGGCAGCATCTACCAATCTACCATGTTACCTGAAAATTCACCAATTTGGGGGGAAAATGAAACACGTCAGCATCGATTCTAGATTTAAAGCTTTCGTGGCTTTTTTCACTTCAGCGCTGTCCTCCAGACAGTCTCGTCCCTTCACCTGATGAGGGCCGCTTGTGTTGTGGCCGAAACGTCGTGATTTTTGTTATTTTATTTTTTACCTACGTGACTTTACCCAATAGAACCAAAGAGTATGTCAGCATCGCCCCGACTGACAGATTTCCCATTTGCAGGCAGGTGCTGCATACACCTCCTGTCATGTAGGGATGGCTGTCACTCGGAATCCACGATGGTACACTGCAGCAAGGAACGAAATGGCTGAGACAAGATTCAGTTCTTTCTCGTTTCTGGTCCCCTTACACTGGAACAAGCTGCCCTCAATGCTCTTCCCTTGCTTACCCAAACTCCGGTTACTCCTACATTCCCAATCATTAACACCATTATCCTCCCCATCTTTCCTACCCATTCATCATACTCGCTCATCATAACCACTCATTGTCACTTTCACATCTTTTATTTCAGGTACCATCATATTCATCATGCACGACCATCCTGCTCATAAACGTATCTCATATCACACTATTCTGTTGTACAAATACTGTATTTTAGTATTTGCTCAGCGCCTTAATCAAGGTGCGATAGAAATTAAAATTACAAAGAGATGATATGCAGAGTGGCTGAAGCATTTTAATGAGCGCCCTGTGCACGCACATCCTAATTGAATCATTATCTGCTCAAAATATTTGCTACTGATATATGTGCTTTGAACAATGGTCACTTTCAGAAATGTAGCCTATTGCATATACAGGTGTAACGTCTTATATCGAATGGCTGACGTAGATGCAGGGCAACAACAACAATTTCACATTGTTTTACGTATGTCTTCTCATAAAACTTATAATAAGAGTGAGTCTGACTATTTTTAATGGAATCGTTTTTTAGGATTTAGCGCTATGGTACAAACACGTGGTGAATCCCCCCCCCCCCCCCCACCCCCCCCCCCCCCCCCCCCCCCCCCCCCCCCCCCCCCCCCCCCCCCCCCCCCCCCCCCCCCCCCCCCCCCCCCCCCCCCCCCCCCCCCCCCCCCCCCCCCCCCCCCCCACTGCCTCACCCACACAAAAGACATCTGGAGGTTAATACTCACAAGCTGGCTTGGGAAGTAATAACATATAATTAAAAAATACAGCGGCAAGACCATTGGGGGCCAATGAGATTTCTGGAGAAACCCCGAAAATGACTTCAAGAGGAGGACGCAACAAAGTAAACAACAGAAACAGCAGGGGATCACGAGCCTGCACCGGACAGCGAAATCCACCAAAAGGTGTTTATAATCATTACAAGCTGGCTGGGATTTAAACGTTTTGCAGTAGAGTTCCAGTGTGCCGACTCAGCAACCACTCCAGCGGTGGACAGAGCCTGACGGCGCAGCCGAGAGCGCCGTGTGTTCGACACACATACACACGCCGACCCACCGCCCCCTTCTGGGGACCTGAGGTATTTTCGAAACGATGAAAAACGCTGCACTACGAAGTTTTGCCGCTGGACCCCAAAACCACAGCAGGAATAGTACGTGGAAAACTCAAACCATACTGCCCGCTATAATTATTGGACCTCGTGGTGACTGCCCTCCAACACACAACGCGCATATCGATACAAATACGATTGTTCCAAGAGGATTGTTTTTGTTAGTTTCACAAAGGGTTGCCATTCCAAGGTGGTGTGTTAACTGTGAGCTGGTCGTGAAAAGCATTGTTCTGTCCCTTGAATTGCATGAATGCGGTCGTTTAGAAGTATTTTAGTAATTCGTTTTCTTACCAATTAATGTATTGGTGTCACACTAAACATTTATAAGCATCTAGGTTACTAATATCGCACTCGCATGGATACTATTTTGAGATATTTATTTTAATCACACAATTTTTGCCGCAAAATCATTGATGTCCTAATTGCTGATGGATAATAAT